ACTATTGCAAAGCTGTGTGTCAGCCCATACTCTCTGTCAAAGGAGAGGACCAACGTTCACAGAACTATGTTTAGGCAGAGTTACCGACTAGTTGGCTGTACCTGACGTTTTGTCTTTAACAGCCCCCAAATGACTCCACCACCACATCTGGGTGCCTGTGCCAACAACTGGAAGCAGTCTGGGGCTGCTGACAACTAAGTATAAGAAACCTTATTTTAGCACTTTACATTATAGTTCCTTGGGGAAGGGGGTGTAAAATAGCATAGGTTTAAGTTCCCAGCAGGTAAACTGGTAAATAAAGTTAAAAAAAAAAAATTATATATATATATATATATATATGTACAGTGGGGATCGAAAGTTTGGGCACCCCAGCTAAAAATTTGTATTAATGTGCATAAAGAAGCCAAGGAAAGATGGAAAAATCTCCAAAAGGCATCAAATTACAGATTAGACATTCTTATAATATGTCAACAAAAGTTAGATTTTATTTCCATCATTTACACTTTCAAAATAACCGAAAACAAAAAAATGGCGTCTGCAAAAGTTTGGGCACCCTGCAGAATTTATAGCATGCACTGCTCCCTTTGCCAAGCTGAGACCTGCCAGTGTCATGGATTGTTCTCAATCATCGTCTGGGAAGACCAGGTGATGTCAATCTCAAAGGTTTTAAATGCCCAGACTCATCTGACCTTGCCCCAACAATCAGCACCATGGGTTCTTCTAAGCAGTTGTCTAGAAAACTGAAACTGAAAATAGTTGACGCTCACAAAGCTGGAGAAGGTTATAAGAAGATAGCAAAGCGTTTTCAGATGTCAATATCCTCTGTTCGGAATGTAATTAAGAAATGGCAGTCATCGGGAACAGTGGAAGTTAAAGCAAGATCTGGAAGACCAAGAAAAATATCAGACAGAACAGCTCGCAGGATTGTGAGAAAAACAATTCAAAATCCCCGTTTGACTGCACGATCCCTCCAGAAAGATCTGGCAGACACTGGAGTTGTGGTACACTATTCCACTATAAAGAGATACTTGTACAAATATGGTCTTCATGGAAGAGTCATCAGAAGAAAACCTCTTCTACGTCCTCACCACAAAAATCATCGTTTGAACTTTGCAAATGAACATATAGACAAGCCTGATGCATTTTGGAAACAAGTTCTGTGGACCGATGAGGTTAAAATTGAACTTTTTGGCCGGAATGAGCAAAGGTATGTTTGGAGAAGAAGGGGCACAGAATTTAATGAAAAGAACCTCTGTCCAACTGTTAAGCATGGGGTTGGATCAATCATGATTTGGGGTTGTGTTGCAGCCAGTGGCACAGGGAACATCTCACGAGTAGAAGGAAAAATGGATTCAATAAAATTTCAGCAAATTTTGGATGGTAACTTGATGCCATCTGTGAAAAAGTTGAAGTTAAAGAGAGGATGGCTTCTACAAATGGATAATGATCCTAAACACACCTCAAAATCCACGGGGGATTACATCAAGAGGCGTAAACTGAAGGTTTTGCCATGGCCTTCACAATCTCCTGACCTCAACATAATTGAAAATCTATGGATAGACCTTAAAAGAGCAGTGCGTGACAGACAGCCCAGAAATCTCAAAGAACTGGAAGACTTTTGTAAGGAAGAATGGGCAAAGATACCTCAAACAAGAATTGAAAGACTCTTGGCTGGCTACAAAAAGCGTTTACAAGCTGTGATACTTGTCAAAGGGGGCAGTACAAGATATTAACTCTGCAGGGTGCCCAAACTTTTGCAGACGCCATTTTTTTGTTTTCTGTTATTTTGAAAGTGTAAATGATGGAAATAAAATCTAACTTTTGTTGACATATTATAAGAATGTCTAATCTGTAATTTGATGCCTTTTGGAGATTTTTCCATCTTTCCTTGGCTTCTTTATGCACATTAATACAAATTTTTAGCTGGGGTGCCCAAACTTTCGATCCCCACTGTATATATGTGTGTGTGTGTATGTATATAATATATAAATAAATAACAGTCATAATAAAAAAAAAATTACACATACATATATATATATATATATATATATATATATATATATATATATATGGGTATATATATATATATATATATATATATATATATAAATATAAATATAATACAGTATATGCTGTACTGTTTTAATTATGTTCTAATCTTGTGATTCAAACACCTCTACCACACTGCATAGCTAGGTGTCATCACTATTTTTTTTACAACTTTGCAGCTCCCCATGTCACCTGTCTGCTCATTGGACAATTATTCATCAAGATCAACTTACGTTTGTATTGTCCTGTTGGCACAGGACTGGCTGAACACAGCTCAAAATCCTGTATGTATTCTGTGTATTTAGCTGTTTGCTTGGAGTTCCATTTGAGATATGTTAATCAAATATAATTAAAGATGTCTTTTTTTCTAGAGCAAACATACTCAGTTCGTCAAATCTTTTGGCACAGCACACATTTTCCATCCCTTTATCTAGCATGCTGCCTGCCCCCATACACTCTCCAGCTCTGTTATGTTTTGTTGTAGACAGAGTCCACAACTATACAGTATATTGTGTGGCTCATGTATATCTACAGCCCAGGATAATGGGGGCCTCCAAGGCAGCTGTTTGCAACTGATTACTGTCATTAAAGTGGAACTTTACCCATATTAACTTGATAAAAAATAATGATCTTTAGCACAGGACTGAGATTGAGCTCTGCAGTCAGTCTCTCAGTCAGAAGACAATTAGAGACTCGGGACATGCTACAGAAAACAGTCAGAGACTGGGGTCATGCTACAAAAGACAGTTGGAGACTGGGGACATGCTACAGAAGACAGTCAGAGACTAGAGACATGCTATAGAAGACTATAAAAGCCTGGGTGCATGGTACATAAGGCTAATAGAGGTCACTGATATTGCTCCTTACAAATCAATGCAACCACTTCCACTAACAATTGCTGAGGTCCATATTAAGGGGCATTTAGAAAAACTGTGGGGACACCAAAATAAAGATAGATGAGCCTAGAGCACTGTATCAAGCAAGGAAACTCATCACAAATGGATCCTGTCTTCTCCTACCAGAACTTGCTTATATATACTTGCATCTGTCCCCCAACCATTCAGGCATGGATAAACCCTCTGGGGGGAATTTATAAAGGGTGTCATAGACACCCTTTAGAATTCTTTCCGCCATCGCAACAAAGGTATCGGTGTTTGCGGCTGATATATACGTACCTGTCACAGACCGGACTCTCAGTTCTTAGTTTGCTTCCTCCCCAGCCACTGGGCCAATCCCACTGACAGGTACATGGCCAAGGAATTGTGAAGCACAGGTGAGAGGAGTTTGATGGGGAACTAAGAAACTAGTTCCCCATCAGGTCTGCCTGGCTGTTGATTTTTAGCATGACAGTGGGCGGATCCATAGCTACTATTTAGTTCAAAAGTGGCCTTCGAGTCCGCCCACTGCAATGCGCGGTCAATCAACAGCCAGGTAGACCTGGTGAAGAACTAGTCATTTACTAGAATATATACTAAATATTTGGGGTTTTAAAGTTACACTCCACATTTAAGTCCTCATATTTCTATACCCTAGATCCCAGTATACTGCAAATGTATTACTTATAGGTGCAGTAACGTCCTACGCATTTTATGAACAATGTTCACTTCTTCAGGAGAGGCTAGGTAACAGTAATCTTTGTGTAGATAACCAGCTTAAATGTGCAAAGCATATGTGCCTTGCTCCACCAACATCAACCCCAGGAAGCTCGAGTGAAGCCACAAAGCATACTACCGGAGTCTCTCTTCTACACGTAGACTCAGTCTATTCTTAATTTTTTATATTTTTGTTGCACCCTCATCTCCAGCTACTTAGCAATTCAGGTGTTTAAGCCTATAAGGTGGTTGCATATTATTTACCCTACATCTGAGCATTGACTTTGATGACCCCAGCTGGATCTGCCTTAGTATGGACTCACATCAGAGGTAGATATCTACAGTATATGGTTCTTGTATGGGTGTCAATGTGTTTCATTGCAGGACATTTCCAAAAAATTCCTAGCCAGAGTTCTGGGAGGAAAGGAGGGATTCTGGATACAAAAAACATGCAGTACTCCATTTAAACCATCCCTTGTAAGTGAAGGATACTGAACCCTTTGCAAAGCCACAACTGAGCCTTAGTACACTAAGTGAGCAATTACTCTGCTAAGTGAACAGCCTTGCTCCCTTTAGTAAATTCACAACAATGTCTCTTTGTCTTGGCTAACCAGTAACCAGATACCCCCGAGACATTGGCAATCCTGTGGAGAAGCATTAAAGGAAGCATAAAACCTGTCATGAGAGATATAAGTATATCTGGCAACTAGTAAGAGATGAACAATGGCAGCCCACATATTTCTTTCATGACATGTTTTCTTTAAAGGCTTATGTTGATTACTCATTGATGTTTTTTTTAATATCAAACACAATAAAAGTATAAAAGGGATTAGCAAATGTTTTTGATCTAAAATGTTACTTCTAAGGGCTCGTTAACACTTGCGGTGGATTGGTTTTCAGAAAGCGGTACATGAGTGACTGACAGACATCCAGGAGGCAATACAAAGATAGAACTGACAACCAAAATAAGCTTCCTTAACCACTAGCCTGCAGGGCACTTATACCCCCTTCCTGCCCAGGCCAATTTCCAGCTTTCAGTGCTGTCACACTTTGAATGACAATTGTGCGGTCATACAACATTGTACCCATATGACATTTTTATCATTTTTTTGAGACAGAAAGAGCTTTCATTTGGTGGTATTTAATCACCTCTGGGATTTTTATTTTTTCTTAAACCAAAAACCACTGAAAATTTTGAAAAAAAAAAGTTTTTTCTTAGTTTTGTTATACAATTTTGTAAATAAGTGATTTTTCTCCTTCACTGATGTGCGCTGCAGTGATGGGCACTGATAGGCTGCACTGATGGACACTGATAGGTGGCACTGATGGGCACTGATGAGGAGGAACTGGTAGGTTGCACTGGTGGGCATTGACAGGCATCACTGATGGGCACTGAAAGGCAGCACTGATACATGACACTGATACATGATACTGATAGGCGGCACTGACTGGCACTGAAGCGCACTGATAGGCAACACTGACTGGCACTGATAGGTGGCACTGATTGGCAGCACTGATTGGCATTGATAGGTGGCACTGATGGGTGACATTGAAAGGCAGCTCAGATGGGCACTGATATGTGGCATTGATGTGCACTGGTATGCACTGATATGTGGTATTGATGTGGCACTGATGGGCACTGGCACGTGGCACTGATGAGCACTGACAGGTGGCACTTCTGGGGCCACACTGATCATCATGGCACACTGATCATCAGTGCCCTGATGATCATTGTACATGTCCCCTCCGCGGAAAGCCGATTACCAGCTCTCCTCTCCTCTCGAGCTGTCAGCGTGACAGCTCGAGAAGAAAGAAATGCCGATAACCGGCATTTCCGTGTTTACATGTGATCAGCTGTGATTGGACACAGCTGATCACATGACTGAGCCGACATCTTCGGCTCTTTCCGTGATCCGCTGTGTCCGAGGGACACAGCGCACCGGCGATCGCCGCACTGCGCACTACCTGAGCCGCGCATGCGCAGTGAGAATAGTAGGACGTCATATGACGTCCTATCAGAACGAGAGAACCACCTTGCGCCCGTCATTGTACTATAGGGCAGGCGGAAGGTGGTTAAAGAGGAGCTCCACCAAAAAGGGAAGGTTCCGCTTTAAGGCCTCCTCCCTCCTCCTATTCACCAAATGGCACTTTTTTTTGGTGGGGAGAGCAGGTACCCGATTTTGACAGGTAACCGCACCCACTTCCACTCGGATCACCTAAGCAATCGGAGCGGAAGTTCTCCTCTCCACCTCCCTCCCAGCAGTCTTTTGGGACACATGACAGGTCCCAGAAGACTGTGGGACCATTCCCAATGTGCAGTGTGGCTCTCGCATGCTCAGTGGGCAGACGCAAGCTACATTACATTCTAGTGAAACGCATTGACGTCATCATGCGTCATGTGACGTCGCTCTACTGGAAGTATCGATGTAGACTGGTATGACGGACAAGCCCCTAGGAAGTGAGCAATGGGAAATATGGTTCCGGAGGCAGATCGCGGTGTGAAGGACTGAACCAACACTGCTTGATTGATATGAGACCTGGGATATATAAGAACTTTGATTCAGTGAGTGGTCATAGGAGGCGGTAAAGTACCGAATACTATTTTTCCAATTGGACGGTACATACCTAATATATTGGTCGGCATAAAACGCCTTATGACAGCCAGCCTCCCTATATAGCCAATACATCTATTTGCATTGGAGATATGGTGTGAGTGTTCATAAGTGGATTAGGATGGAATTGACTATTTATACAGCCAAAACACATTACTTTCATTATGCAACATAGACTATATGAAGTTCCTTTCTACTTTTGCTCACTGCATATGATACCTTGCTGCAAATAACCTAGATTGCTGTTTCTCCCCGCTAATACTACTCACATCTGCCTCCTGCGTGAGCTTTAAGGAGCCTTCATTAAATCCCATTGTCCTTGCAATTGCTCATGCTAATTATTCTTGACAAAACATCTTTTTGGACTTTAACCCCTTGGCAATAAAGGGATTTCCTCATTATGATCATTCCTATGTATAGGTAATGAGTGGCATGCTATGTTGGAAGAGGACTGGTCAATATGACACTATACAATTTTGGATAAGGTCATCTTTCTTAGTGGCAATATTTTTTCTGTCCTTGATATAAGGAATTCTATACAAAAAGTTAAATGGCCATAACTGATTTCCCCAATGGATCCGTGTACTGGAAATATCCTAATATTTTGAAGTATTGGTAATTTTCATGCAGTGGTTACTGTGGAACTATTCCTTGCACAGAATCATTTAGATGTCCAGGCATTTTTGTTTTTGATTGTTTGTATGTATGTCCTGGTGATTTGTTTGTTGTTATATGTAAAAATCACTTGGTAGCTTTTGTTAATTCAATGCAGGTGACTTTGTAGAAATAATAATTTTTAAATTTGTACTTTTTTTATATGAATAATAAAACTCTGTTTTGTACCATCGAGCCACCATTTCAGTCATTATAGGTAACCCGCTTTTGGTCTCCATACTTGGAGGCCTTTGTTTTGTAGTATATATCAGTAGGCACCTGTCTGTGAAACCACAAGCTGTTACAGCTGGGTGCCCACCGTTGAGATGCTGACGCCAGGGACAGAAAGCTGAGGGATGGAGCAGCTCGGGGGAGCACATCGCTGGATTGAAGGACAGGTGAGTGGCTGTTTATTCAAAGTCAGCAGCTACAGTTTTTGTAGCTGCTGACTTTTAAAAAAAACACAAACTTGACTGAAGCTTCTCTTTAAAAATCTCTTTTCGTGTTGTGAGTGCTGCCTATCTGTTGGCTATTTCTTTCCACAACTTCCTGGATTCCCTGCATGCTTTGCAGCTTCTCATTTTTCCTTTTCATTTTTAAGAACTACATGTCCGTGCTGCCTGCAAGCTGTGATTCCTGTACCGACTCCGCCTCCTGAAACTTCTCCTCTCAGCACCTCTGTAGTTCAGAAGGTAGGCTCTGTGAAATGTGTAACACGGCAGTGCCTACTCACAGGACTACGTGTCACCGAATTCAAGGAAGTAAGTGTGTGGGGATCTTCACAAAGTTTGCAAACTTCAAGAAGGCTTCATATTCGTAGGAGTAGGCTGGAAATAATTACCATACAATGTGGAAATGAAGATATGATTTTAAATTTTGACCGCAGATATGCTTTGCATGCTGAACCCTACTAGTTGCAATAAATGTCACCAATGGTTACATTTATTTGCTAATAACCTCTAGCGTTCCCTAGAATTGTTTGTATCTTTTGATACAAAGACATGTGTACTTCTTATTCTCCTCAACTCCATCTAGTAGCTATAATTCGATAATTTACTACTACCCATATTAGAATATTCATTCAGAAGAGAAAATAGCCCCACAACATTTGTTTTTGTCCAATTCGCCCAGAAAAATTTTTTTTCTGGATGGATGGCTATGCATATTTTTTATAAATAGATGCCATAGTTTTGGTTATGGATTTGATTTGTTTGATAAACAAAAGTTATCAGTAACCGAATAGCACGAGGGTCTTCCTGATTGCATAGAAATGTGATAGATTGTTTAGGTATCCTCATACTATATAAGTGTTGCTTTGATCTGACAGATTAAGGTTAGAAGACATCCAGAATTGTGGCCAGTTTAAGAGATACTAGACAATTCATTTACAGGAAGCATGCTGGTTTAGTTCTAAATCATAAATCAGAATCATTCAAATGTTTGGCTTAATTATTTTAGCTTTCGGTTCTATGGCAGTGATTAAAAATCTAACGATCCATGTGGGACAACAGAGCTGAAGTATAAATGAGGGAAGGAAGGAAAACAGAAAGGTTCCTTGGAGCAACCAATCATTTTTCTACAATAGGTTTTGAAAAGAAAGCAAACATCATACTGCGTATTGTTGACATGACCTTCCATGTTCCATTCTACCAGTTTTGAAGTAATGACTCCATTATCCTCTAAACTTGGTAGTCTTTGGTTGGAGGACAGTGTAAAAATGTTTAATTTAACCCCTTCCCACAAAGCCCTGGTGTCCCTTTAAATGAGCTATTACACCTGGGGGGTAGGTAGGTCTGCTTGATTACATGACCACTGTGACTGGCTACAAAGTGGTCACATGATCAGGAGTAGATCCTGACAGCTCCCAATCATTACTAGAGACCAGAAACTGTCTTTGACAGCATATTCTCTGTGCTTGGAGTTGCTCTTAGCGCAAAAAACTCTGCTGCTCATGGACGCATACACTATATTGCCAAAAGTATTGGGACACCTGCCTTTACACGCACATGAACTTTAATGACATCCCAGTCTTAGTCCGTAGGGTTTAATATTGAGTTGATCCACCCTTTATAGCAATAAAAGCTTCAACTCTTCTGGGAAGGCTGTCTACAAGGTTTAGTAGGAGGGTGTCTATAGGAAGGTTTGACCATTCTTCCAGAAGAGCATTTGTGAGGTCAGGCATTGATGTCGGACGTGAAGGTCTAGCTCACAGTCTCCACGCTAATTCATCCCAAAGGTGTTTTTGTTAGGTTAAGGTCAGAACTCTGTGCAGGCCAGTCAAGTTCCTCCATCCCCAAACTTGCTCATTCGTGTCTTTATCAACCTTGCTTTGTGCACTGGTGCGCAGTCATGTTGGAACAGGAAGGGGCCATCCCCAAAATATTCCATCAAAGTTTGGAGCATGAAATTGTCCAAAATGTCTTGGTATGCTGACACTTTAAGAGTTCTCTTTCACTGGAACTAAGGAGCCAAGCGCAACCCCTGAAAAACAACCCCATACCAAATCCCCCCTCCACCAAACTTTACACAATGCAGTCAGACAAGTACTGTTCTCCTGGCAACCACCAAACCCAGATGCATCCATTGGATTGCCAGACAGAGAAGAGTGATTCATCAATGCAGAGAACACATCTCCACTGCTCTAGAGTCCAGTTGCAGTGTGTTTTACGCCACTGCATCCGACACTTTGCATTGCACTTGGCGATGTAAGGCTTGGATACAGCTGCTCTGCCATGGAAACCCATTCCCTGAAACTTTCTATGCACTGTTGTTGTGCTAATCTGAAGGCCACATGAAGTTTGGAGGTCTTTAGCTATTGACTCTGCAGACAGTTGTCGATTTCTGCACACTGTGTTCTTCAGCATGCACTGACCCCGCTCTGTCATTTTACATGGCCTACCACTTCGTGGCTGAGTTGCTGTTGTTCCCAGTTGCTTCCACTTTGTTATAAGACCACCAACAGATGACCATGGAATATTTAGTAGCAAGGTAATTTCATGGATGAACTCATTGCACAGGTGGCAACCTATCACAGTACCAAGCTTGAATTCACTGAGCTCCTGAGAGCGACCCATTCTTTCACAAATGTTTGTAGAAGCAGTCTGCATGCCTAGGTGCTTGATTTTATACACCTGTAGCCATAGAGATGATTGGAATACCTGAATCCAATGATTTGGAGGGCTGGCCCAATACTTTTGGTAATATAGTGTATGTGCGGTGTGTAGGTTTCCGCCACATATGCATTACGTGGGTGGCAAGAGGTTTATAAAAGTTACAAGGAAAATAAAAATATAGTGGGGGAGAATTTATCCAAATTGAAGCAGCCAGAATCTGGAGCAGCTGTGCATAGTAACCAATCAGCTTCTATCTTCAGCTTGTTCAGTTAAAGGGTAACTCTGCTTTTGTGGGCAAAAACATATTGCAAATAAAAAAAATATAGCATATGTAATTGCTACACTAGCCATGTTGTAATTTAATATTATTAAAAATTACTTTTCCTTTTCAAACTGTGGCACTGTCATTCTCTGTAAAATTCAGTGCAATATGGCAACCAGGAGGTAATATGGAGATAAAAGGGTATTCCTGCAGCCACACACTTATCCAACCATGTCATTGTGAAGTAAAAATCAGCCTCAGCTTGCTCCATCAGAAGCCATGCCTTCAATGCATTTCACCCCGCCCC